TAGAGCCAGCCCAACTGATAGAAAAATCTCTGGCAACAGTTTGGCACACACAAACCTAGCGTGGAATGGACATGAGCAAGCACTCGAAAAAAGAACAGGTAATATCCTTTGAAGAGCTCTTCAGGAAAGGAATAGCAGATAAATGCAGGAAATGCAACATAACTTTTAAAATAACAATTAGTTTTGGAGATTATAATTTTACTTTTATTCTAAAAGGATGACAACAGAACTCCTAAGAAGTTCCCATCGGAGCATCAGTGACACCAAAAAAGAGTAAAACACTTGGATTAGCATGACCTAATCAGCATGGTTTCTATGAGGAAAATCAGGTTTTTCCAACTTTTTAGAGTGCTTTGAAAAAGTCAATAAAATATTACCTAAAAGTGAACCCATGTGACCAAATTCCTTAGATTTCCCAATAAGAAACTAGTTAAAAACACAGGGTGAGGAGACATGTCCTGGCATCACTTAAAAAATAATTAATCTACATTTCATCTTCCCATGAAAAGTGCTCATGGTATAAGAATTTCCCCACTTTGTTCTATGCCTTTTACTGATACACTTCCTCACTTTGAATAACGCCTTACTCCATGAGTAGTTCCATTGACTTCTGTAGAACTATTCATGAAGTAAGGTGCTATTCAACATGAGTAAGGGCATATCAATCTGGCTCTAAGATTTTTAATAAATGGCTGCCCTCAAAGTGGAGAGAAGGCAGTAGATAGTGAGATACCTGAGGGAGTGGTATTTGGGACCTTTGCTATTTAGGGGATTTATTATTGATATGGAAAAATTAGACAGCGTGTAGATGAAGTTTGCTAGTTACATAAAATTCCTTCACTAAGTAAAAAGTACTACGAATTTTGAGAAATTACAGAATATTTGTACAAGAAATAGAACAACAGGACCTTAATCCTGACTGGGATCGCTGGGCACTACCACAATAATGGGACTTGATTAATAAAGAATTAAAGAAGAGTAATGTTATAAATGCAAATCAGCATGGATTTATGGAAAATAGATCCTGTCAAACTCACTTGATGTATTTTTTGATGAGATTACCAGTTTAGTTAACAAGGGTCATAGTATTGATGTAATATGCTTAGACTTCTGTAAGACATTTGACTTGGTACCACATGACATTTTGATTACAAAACTATAAAGATATATAATTAACATGGCACACATTAAATGGATTAAAAACTGGCTAACTGATAGGTCTCAAAATGTCACTGTAAACAGGGAATTGTCATCACGTGGGTGTATTTGCAGTGGACTCCTGCAGGGATTGCTTCTTGACCTTTATCAAGGCAAACTTCCCACTCTGGCACTGGGAGTGCAGAAGGTGGGTCCTGCAAGGATTCTAAAAATTAATACTAGCCACTCCAGGCTTACATTAAACTCCCAAAGTTACAGCTTTTTTCTGACCTTGGATTGGTAGATGCTGCCACAACCCAAGTACAGAACCCCTTTGAGAGCCCAGGAAGGCGCACTTGGAATTCCTTCCTGTGGGATGCCCTCAAGCACTTTCACCCCCCACACACACACACCTCCCAGGGAAAAGCTGAGAAAGAAAAAAAAGGAAATCAGCTTTTTCCTTGCCACCAGCTAATTAAACAACATGTGCACAAACCTCTTAAGACACAAAAATGCAATTCTGTTCTTAAAAAAAGTAAATTTTATTTAAAAAAACTAAAGAAAATACATTTTGGAACTCAGGCTATGGCTAGATTTAAAAGAGCAACTACAAAGACTAACCACCAAGAATAGCTTCCTTGAGGTCCAGTTTAAAGGTTACAAGCAAAACAAAAGCACCTGGGATTAGCACAGAGGAATCCACAAGCCATAAAGAAATAAACCTAATCACGTCTTCCTAGACACTTCCTGTTCTACTTGCATATCTGGGATTTCAGATGAGTAGTTCCTAGGTATGATACTGATGATTTTTCATACCTGGCCCAAGCTTCTCACAGCATAACTGCTGCCCTGCCAGCCTCTCCCCGGGAGAACAACAACAGACAGACAAAAGGGGAGTCGTTTTTCAATTTTAAAAAGTTCTAGCCTTCCCATTGGCTCTTTTGGCCAGGTGACCACTCACTTCATTTTACTTATGCATAGCAGTGAGACTTTTTAACTCTTACAGGTAGAGCAATTAGAGAACAGCTACTAAGAGGTATTTTATAGCTACTGGCTGGCTGGGTGTTCATAAAAGGGAGCTACTCCGCCCCCCCCTTCATTTATCACAACCTTATACTGAAGAAAACATAATATCATAACTGATAAAATTTGCAGATGACAAAAATTGGAATGGTAAAGAATGAAGATGACAGGTCACTCATCAGAGCAAGCCAACCATTTGTGTATTAATGTATACATAAAGGAACAAGGAATACAGGCCTTACTTACAGGATGGGGATCTCTATCCTAGGAAGCAGTGACTCTGAAAAAGATTTGGGAATCATGGTGGATAATCAGCTGAATATGTGCTCCTAGGGTGATTCTATGGCAAAAGAGCTTATACAATCCTGGGATGCATACAAAGGAAAATCTCGAGCAGGAGTACGGAGGTCATTTTACCTCTATTTTGGCTCTGGTGTGACTGCTGTTGTTCAGACTACTGTGTCTAGTTCAGATGCCACATTTCAAAGAGATAAATAGTAGAGTTGAAAGAAGAGCCACAAGAATTATTAAAGAATTAGAAAGCATTCCTCATAACAAGAGACTCAGGGAGCTCAATCTGTTAAGCTTAACAAAAAGAAGGTTAAGAGGTGACACGATTACAGTCTGTAGGTATTCACATGAGGGAAAATATTTAATAATGGGCTCTCCAATCTAGCAGAGAAAGGTATAACATGATCCAATGGCTGGAAATTGAAGCTAGACAAATTCAGTCTGGAAATAAGGCATACATTTTTAACAGTGAAAGTAATCAACCATTGGAACAATTTATGAAGGGTTGTTGTAGATTCTCCATCACTAACAATTTTTAAACCAAGATTAAATGTTTCTCTAAACAATATGATAGAGGAATTATTTTGGGAAATTCTATGGCCTGTGTTATACAGGAGGTCAGACTAGATTATCACAATGTTCTTTTCTGGCCTTAGAATCTATGAATATAAATAATAGTGGAGATTTAGACACATCGGGAGATTGGTGACCTTGAAGGCAGATTAGATTGAACTTGGACAAATATAAAGTGTTCACATAAGTAAAAATAATCTGATCAACTCAAAAATAATTGGTCATATAGAAAAATCTATATTTTCTGGATCAGATCAATTAAAAGACTGCTGTCATCATCGATATCTCAGTGATGATGTTGAACAAGTATGTATTAAAAAAAAAGACTGAAAATTATACAGAACATATTATTATAAGTGTGATCACAGACCCTCAGCTGAATTATTATAGGATCCTATTACACCCCTTTGTGGATTAGCATGTACAAATTTGGGCCCAGATTCTGCACATACTTATGCACATGCTTAACTGTAAACATGAGAGTAATCCCATTAAAGTCAATTAAACTACTCACATGCTTAAAGGTAAGCAAGTATTTACATTTTTGCAGAACAGAAGTCTTGGTTATTCCACCTCCCCACACAAAAAGTACACCAGAGATTGAAAATATTGCAAAACATACAGAAAAATATTTAGTAGCGTGGCGGGCTTTTCACATGACAAAGGATTGAAAATACTATGAATAGGGCCCTATCAAATTCAGGGTCCATTTTGGTCAATTTCACAGTCATTGGATTTTTAAAATCGTAAATTTCATGATTCAGCTATTTAAATCTGAAATTTCATGGTGTTGTAATTGTAGGGGTCCTGACAGCTGCTGCTCTCCGGCTGCCCAGCTCTGAAGGCAGTACAGAAATAAAGGTGGCAATACACAGCCTTCCTAAAATAACCTTGTGACCCCCCTGCAACTCCATTTTGGGTCAGGACCCAGGGCCGTCCTTACCCATAGGCAAAGTAGGCAGCTGCGTACAGCACTTGCTCCAGCTCTTGCCCAGGGCCCCCGCCCCTGCTCTGCCCCAGCCCCGCCCGCGCTCCCCTGAGGAGTGCAGCAGGGCCGGGCCTGCACTCACCGGCAGTGGGAGTGCAGTAACCTGGCCCCAGCCGTGCCACTGGTCTCCCCTGTGAAATGGTATAGTGTAAAAGCACACAAAAGACCAGATTTCACGGGGGGAGACAAGTTTTCATGGTCCGTGATGCGTTTTTCATGGCCATTAATTTGGTAGGGCCCTAACTATGAATACTGTCAAATTTTCGACTGCAAGCTATAGATTGTACAGCCTTTGAGGCAGGGACAATTTTTTGTTCTGTGTTTGTACAATGCTCAGCACAAAGGAATCCTGGTCCATGACTGTGGTTACTAGGTGCTACCACAACACAAGCAAACAAGTAGGATGTGGTGATAGTGTGTTTTCTATTTGTGTCTAAGTGCAAAGCTCAATTTTAGGCACTGTATAAATAACGATCCTGTCCCTTCACATAAAAACAAAGGGAAAAGATTAAATCAAAGAGCAGAACATTGAGAAGAAAAAATAGAAAATACTATTTTTACACAGCATGTAGTCAACAAACCCCCCAGATATTCTGGTTTAACTTGGATTTAAACTTGGAGAGTGGTCAGTTTAGACCAGCAGGAGAGTGAGTTTGTGTGTGTATGGGGGTGGGGGGGAAGTGAGAGAACCTGGATCTATGCAGGAAATAGCCCGACTTGATTATGTAAAGAGTTGTCACTTTGGATGGGCTAGCACCAGCAGGAGAGTGAATTTGTGTGGGGGGGTGGAGGGTGAGAAAACCTGGATTTGTGTTGGAAATGGCCCACCTGCTGATCACTTTAGATAAGCTATTACCAGCAGGACAGTGGGGTGGGAGGAGGTATTGTTTCATATTCTCTGTGTGTATATAAAGTCTGCTGCAGTTTCCACTGTACACATCTGATGAAGTGAGCTGTGGCTCACGAAAGCTCATGCTCAAATAAATTGGTTAGTCTCTAAGGTGCCACAAGTACTCCTTTTCTTTTTGCGAATACAGACTAACATGGCTGTTCCTCTGAAACCTGTCAGAATGGAAATGCTGCACTTGGATTGTTGAAAGGACTGGATTGTTTTGTTTTCCATTGATAACATTTGCATTTAAGTAACATGAGAGAATGATATGGACAATGATGGAACATCAAATACCACAGGTCGGTAAGACCCTCTCTCATGTACAGTTTTGAACAATTTGCTACTTGCATTATGCCAAAAATGGTAGTTCATGGGAAGGGGTGTATGACATTCTATACCTTGGGTTGGGGGGAGGCATCCTGTAACCCCCATATGCCTCATTTATATATAATTGTGATATTGCATATAAAGCAGGCCGTGTGAGGTATCAGGGGAAAGGTTATAATCTGCTGAAAGTCATTTTTCTATCTAAATATGTATATCATTAATGCATATTGTGACAAAGTTCCTCCTCTACTTTGGTGGGTATTGCGCTTATTGGCGGGTTTGCTCACCTTGGAGCTTCACGGCAGCCCTCAGTTTGGCCGTTTTTCTGAACCCACAGTCCAGGTCGACGACTCCTGTGTCTGACCAGGAGTTGGGAGGATTTGGGGGAAACCCGGGCCCACCCTCTACTCCAGGTTCCAGCCCAGGGCCCTGTGGAATGCAGCTGTCTAGAGTGCCTCCTGGAACGGCCGTGCGACAGCTACAACTCCCTGGGCTACTTCCCCATGGCCTCCTCCCAACACCTTCTTTATCCTCACCATAGGACCTTCCTCCTGGTGTCTGATAATGCTTGTACTCCTCAATCTTCCAACAGTATGTGTTCTCACTCTCAGCTCCTAGCGCCTCTTCCTCCCAGCTCCTTACACGTGCACCACAAACTGAAGTGAGCTCCTTTTTAAAACCCAGGTGCCCTGATTAGCCTGCCTTAATTGATTCTAGCAGCTTCTTGATTGGCTGCAGGTGTTCTAATCAGCCTGTCTGTCTTAATTGTCTCCAGACGGTTCCTGATTGTTCTGGAACCTTCCCTGTTACCTTACCCAGGGAAAAGGGACCTACCTAGCCTGGGGCTAATATATCTGTCTTCTATTACTCTCCTGTAGCCATCTGGCCCGACCCTGTCACAATATGAAGTTATGAGAATGTGTTTTATGATTGTCACTAAAATATGCTGTGGGTTTGGGAAGCGCCCAGATACTAGCTCTCCAGAAACAATGCCAAGGAAAGTAGTCAACACCTGGGCGAGTATCAAACAAACGTTAACAGCCATAGTCCAGCAAGGGAGCTACAACTCAGTGAACCACCTGCATAAGACCACATCGGGGGAATTGCTCAACCTTGCCTGGGGACTCAGCAATGCCCACCTGACATGCCTGGACTTGTGTTCTCCAAGCATGAGAGACTGAGCGTATAAAACCAAACACAGGGGGCCCATGTTAGCCTCTCTCTTTCCCCCACCTACACTGAAATTAGCAACAAGGACACTCAAAGAATACTGAAGCCTCCAACAGAGGTGACTGGCCAGGTTTCAAGGGTAAAGCCTGTGTACTATGAACTGCAATATCCAGTGGAGTGAGAAAACCTGCTTAATCTAGATGTTGCCCAGTCTAATAGGGTTGAGAGTTTAGACTGTGTGCTTATATTTTATTTTATTTTGGTAACTAACTTTGACGTTTTGTCCATCACTAAAATTTTATCTTAAAATCTTAAGATCTATCTTAAAATCTATTTTAAAACCTACCTGGAGAGTTAAGGAGGCACAGTGATCCCACAGTCCCAGGCTGCATGCCAGGGATCCCGTTACATACTCTTCTTGAGATATTTCTAAAATAGTACTTGTAGTCTAATCCCTGTAAATATCCTTATACATGATCCCACAATTTAGCATATGGCTTAATTTATTACATGGATATCTGTACCAGGTATACAGTATGTATGTGTGTGAAGGATATGTATTAATGCTACTTTTTATATAAATAATACTTTTCAAAAATTAAATGAGTCACCATAAAGTCTTTAAATCATTTTGAAACAGCTATCTAAACTTAAGGAACAGTACAAGGATAATTTAAAAAGTAAGCAAAATCTGGATTTCAAATATCATAGCTGTTTTCCCTATCATTTATAATCACTTAAAATCTATCTTTTGTAGTCATAGAATCATAGAAGATTAGGGTTGGAAGAGACTTCAGGAGGTCATCTAGTCCAACCCCCTGCTCAAAGCAGGACCAACCCCAACTAAATCATCCCAGCCAGGGCTTTGTCAATAAACTTCTTTTACTGTTCATCTTTGTGACATTGCACTCCATATGGTTTTATGAAAATATGCTAATGAGTGTGAATATAATGTAACTGGAATATGCTTCATGCAAAAGGTCTCTTGTAAAGTATCATTACAAAGCTTATAATCTACCGAGTGTGGTCATCCTATTTCAGGGTTGGGCAAACTATGGGCCGGGGGCTGCATCTGGCCCTTCACATGTTTTAATCTGGCCCTCAAGCTCCTGCCAGGGAGTGGTGTCCAGGGCTTGCCCCATTCCACATGTGCTGTGGCTCCACATGGCTTCCAGAAGAAGCAGCATGTCCCTCCTCCAGCTCCTACGCATAGGGGCAGACAGGGGGATCTGCCCACTGACCCCGCTGCTCCCATTGGCCACACTCCAAACCCCTCCTGCCCTCTGAACCCCTCAGTCCCACCCTCCTGCAGCCCAGAGCCCACACCCCCAGCTGGAGCCCTCCCCCCCCCCGACCCGCACCCCAACCCCCAATTTCATGAGCATTCATGGCCCGCCAAATAATTTCCATTCCCAGATGTGGCCCTCAGGCCAAAAAGTTTGCCTGCCCCGTTCTATTTGTATAATTGTATCATTCTTGTAGCTGAAACTAGAAATATGAAATATAACTCTGAGGTCCTATTGTAATTATGCAAAGTGTGGGCCATTAATGGTAGTTTAGAATCTTGATGGCTCCCATCAATTAGGACAATTGGTTGTAAATGGCTCTGTTTACTTGCAAGCCTTCCTGTAAGTCAAGCCAGGAAGAATGAAGGCTTGGGGTCTCACAGGACATGTGACCATGTCACCGGGTACTGGAATCCATCTTAAACCTGGTGCTTTTCCATTTAGAAGGAAGGCTGGGAGGGGTGCCAGAGCTAGATCACGGGATGGAACAGAACAAAGGAGGCCGCAGTCATGAGAAATTCCCAAGCTACCACCTGAGCTGGAACATGGACTATACCAGGGGAAAGGATTGTGCCCAGACTAGAAAGGAGTCTAGTCTGTGAAAGAAGCTTATTGGAACATCTCTGAGGATAAGATTTACCTGTATTCAGTTTCTTAACTGTATTAGGCTTAGACTTGAGTGTTTTTATTTTTATTTTATTTTTCTTGGTAACTTACTTTGTTCTGTCTGTTATTATTTGGGGCCAGATGCACTGCATCCGAGAGTGCTAAAGGAGTTGGCAGATGTGATTGCAGAGCCATTGTCCATTATCTTTGAAAACTCATGGCGATCAGGGGAGGTCCCGGACGACTGGAAAAAGGCTAATGTAGTGCCCATCTTTTAAAAAGGGAAGAAGGAGGATCCTGGGAACTACAGGCCAGTCAGCTTCACCTCAGTCCCTGGAAAAATCATGCAGCAGGTCCTCAAGGAATCAATTCTGAAGCACTTAGAGGAAAGGAAAGTGATCAGGAACAGTCAGCATGGATTCACCAAGGGCAAGTCATGCCTGACTAATCTAATTGCTTTCTATGATGAGATAACTGGCTCTGTGGATGAGGGGAAAGCAGTGGACATGTTGTTCCTTGACTTTAGCAAAGCTTTTGACATGGTCTCCCACAGTATTCTTGCCAGCAAGTTAAAGAAGTATGGGCTGGATGAATGGACTATAAGGTAGATAGAAAGCTGGCTAGATTGTCGGGCTCAACGGATAGTGATCAATGGCTCCATGCCTAGTTGGAAGCCGGGATCAAGCGGAGTGCCCCAAGGGTCGGTCCTTGGGCCCGTTTTGTTCAATATCTTCATTAATGATCTGGAGGATGGCGTGGATTGCACCCTCAGCAAGTTTGCAGGTGACACTAAACTGGGAGGAGAGGTAGATACACTGGAGGGTAGGGATAGGATACAGAGGGACCTAGACAAATTAGAGCATTGGACCAAAAGAAATCTGGTGAGGTTCAACAAGGACAAGTGCAGAGTCCTGCACTTAGGACGGAAGAATCCCATGCACTGCTACAGACTAGGGACCGAATGGCTAGGCAGCAGTTCTGCAGAAAAGGACCTACGGGTTACAGTGGACGAGAAGCTATATATGAGTCAACAGTGTGCCCTTGTTGGCAAGAAGGCCAATGGCATTTTGGGATGTATAAGTTGGGACATTGCCAGCAGATCGAGGGATGTGATCGTTCCCCTCTATTCGACATTGGTGTGTCCAGTTTTGGGCCCCACACTTCAAGAAGGATGTGGAAAAATTGGAAAACATCCAGCAGAGGGCAACAAAAATGATTAGGGGACTGGAACACATGACTTATGAGGAGAGGCTAAGGGAACTGGGATTGTTTAGTCTGCAGAAGAGAAAAATGAGGGGGGATTTGATAGCTGCTTTCAACTACCGGAAAGGGGGCTCCAAAGAGGATGGATCTAGACTGTTCTCAGTGGTAGCAGATGACAGAACGAGGAGTAATGGTCTCAAGTTGCAGTGGGGGAGGTTTAGGTTGGATATGAGGAAAAACTTTTTCACTAGGAGGGTGGTGAAGCACTGGAATGCGTTACCTAGAGAGGTGGTGGAATCTCATTCCTTAGAAGTTTTTAAGGTCAGGCTTGACAAAGCCCTGGCTGGGATGATTTAGTTGGGGATTGGTCCTGCTTTGAGCAGGGGGTTGGACTAGATGACCTCCTGAGGTCCCTTCCAACCCTAATATTCTATGATTCTATGAAATCCTACCTTTTATACTTAATAAAATCACTTTTGCTTATTAATTAACCCAGAGAAAGTAATTAATACCTTTAGGAGCAAACAGCTGTGCGTATCTCTCTATCAGTGTTATAGAGGGTGGACCATTTATGAGTTTACCCTGTATAAGCTTTATAAAGAGTAAAATGGATTTATTTGGGGTTTTGATCCCATTGGGAGCTGGGTGTCTGGGTGCTAGAGACAGGAGCACTTGCTAAGCTGTTTTCAGTTAAGTCTGCAGCTTTGAGGGCGCGCATTAGACTCTGGGTCTGTGTTGCAGCAGATTAGTGTATTTGGTTCAACAAGGCAGGGTTCTGAAGGCCCAAACTGGCCGAGAAAATGGGCTCAGCCCACAAAACAGAACAATCACCTAACTCAGTGACTCATTACCTTTTTAATGCCCTCATGTTACAACAGGAAGAAATATCGGTATCCCCCTTCCCAGCTAGCCTATGAGGAATTACTGGAGTACTGCTTCCAGTTTTGATGTCCACACTTTAAAAAGTATGATTACAAATTGGAAAGGGTCCAGAAAAGAGCTACAGGAACAATTTGAGGTCTGGCAAACCTGTCTTATAGCAAGTTACGAAAGGTGAACAAACCTCAATATTGATGCAAAATTATTATAAACTTCCTTTTTATATTAAGTTGTTATGTACTTGTTTGCACTTTAATTGAATATTACAATATAGCCACAAGTATGTTATAGCCAGGAAGCTTGAAATTATAATAATACCTCTATATGTTTGAAGTTGGTTATGTTATAAATGTTCACAGTGGTTAGAAAAATTCCAGGAGGTTTTCACTTCTGTCCCCAACAACAAGCAAATGTCAGGAAGATAACCTCTCCTTATCCATAAACCACATTTAAAAAGAATGTTATATGACTTCAGAACAGCTGCAGTTTAAATTTCACCTTGCCTTATCATTCATACTATTTTCCTTTCTGATAGGTTTAAAAGATATATTGGATACTGAAATTTGTGCTTTGTACATAATATCTGATAGAAGTTGAATTGATATAACAAACATTGTAACTCTAATGTCAAATCAACCTAATATCCTTCTTTGACAGGGCAACAATCCTAGTAGATAGAAGGGAAGCAGTAGATGTGAGAAGAGAAGACTGAGGAGGGACATGACAGTCTTCAGGTACGTAAAATGTTGTCATAGAGGAGAGTGATAAATTGTTCTCCTTAACACTAAAGACAGGACAAAAAGTAGGGCGATGGGTAAATTGCAGCAAGGGAGATTTAGGTTAGACATTAGGAAAAACTTCCTGTCCAGGTAGTTAAACAATGCAACAGATTACCTAGGGCGGTTGTGGAATCTTCGTCACTAGAGGTTTATAAAAACAGGTTAAACACCTATCAGGTCTAGATAATACTTACTGCTGCCTCAGTACAGGGGACTGAGCTAGATGATCTATCAATGTCCCTTCCAGCCCTACATTTCTATGATTCTAAGGTGCTTGGGTCAAGAGTAGGGTTGCCAACCCTCCAGGATTTTCCTGGAGTCTCTAGGAATTAAAGATTCATTTTTAATTAAAGATTATGTCATGTGACGAAACCTCCAAGAGTACGTCCTACCAAAATTGGCAACCTGAGTCAAGAGACCATCCCCTAAGAGTGTCTTATTTAGATCAGAACATCTCCATTTGTACAAGATTCAAGTTTGATAATCCTTATCCTCAAGAAGACAAACCATGTAAAACATATATGTTTTAGGAATAGCCCCAGTTGTGAAAAGGAATGTAGGGTGTGTTGTCAGAGTAATAAATCTGGGTAAATCCACACACAAAGAATTTGAGAAATATCCTTGTTGAAAAGAAATTTATAATTACTCTAAAACTTCATTCAAAAAAACAATGAGGAAAAATATGTGTAGCTGGAAATGTTTGAACCTTTTCTTTATTTCTTAAATAGTGAATCATAGAATACCACGGTTGGAAGGGACCTCAGGAGATCATCTAGTCCAACCCCCTGCTCAAAGCAGGACCAATCCCCAATTTTTGCCCCAGATCCTAAATGGCCCCCTCAAGGATTGAATTCATAACCCTGGGTTTAGCAGGGCAATGCTCAAACCACTGAGCCAACACCTTTGTAAATGCATACTTGCAAATATGTCAACTAATATAAAGCTCCTACTATCATTATTATGTTTGCAGTGTTGTAGCCATGTGATCCCAGGATATTAGAGAGACAAGGTGGGTGAGATAATACCTGTTATTGGACCCACTTCTGTTGGTGAAAGAGTTAAGCTTTCAAGCTACAGAGCTCTTCTTCAGGTCTGAGAAAGGTACTCAAGAGTGTTACAGCTAAATACAAGATGGAACAGATTGTTTAGTTCTGTTAGTTTAGGATTTATCTACACTGGAACTTCATCGGCAAAACTTTTGTCATTTAGGGGTGTTAAAAAAAACACACACACCCAAACAACAAAAGTTTTACTGATGAAAAGCATTGGTGTGAACAGCACTTGGTTGGCAGGAGCACTCTCCTGCCGACAAAGCTGCTGCCACTCGTTGGAGGTGGCATATTTTTGTCAGCATGAGAGCTCTCTCCCGCCGACAAAGAGCAGTTACACTGCATGCCTTTTAGTGCACAACTGCAGCGACACAGCCGTGTCGCTAAAAGCTGCACAGTGCAGAAAAAGCCTTAGTTTAAGAGATATGCTAAGGGACCATTCAAGGGGAAGTGGCTCATTAACACTCCTGCAGTGCTACCCACAACACCCCACACAACACACCTTTCAAGATCAATGGGTCCTATACATGCCTGTCACAACATGTGGTGTACCTCGCTCAGTGCACTAAATGCCCCAATAACAACTATGTGGGTGAAACGAGACAATCACTACACTATCGAATGAACTCACACAGAAAAATGGTAAAACAAGAAAGCCATATTACCCATGGGTGAGCACTTTTCCCAAAGTGATCACTCCATATCTGACCTATCAGTCCTCATCCTCAAAGGGAACCTGCACAACACTTTCAAAAGATGAGTCTCGGAATTTATATTCTTAACTTCGCTAGACACTAAAAATAATGGCCTTAATAAAGAGACTGGATTTATGGCTCATTACAACAATCTGTAACCCACTAAGAACATATCTACACTACAATCTTAAGTCGACCTATGTTAGGTCGACTTATAGCCACGGCAGTAATTACTGCGTGGACTGATGTCCAGACTACCCTCCTTCTGTCGGTGATGCACGTCCTCACAAGGAGCACTTCCACCGACTGAAGAGGGCTCTCAGCTCTGCACAGCTCCCCTCCAAGAGCCCAACTGCCCCCTGGGCTTCTCACCTTCCCACACCCAGCCAGGAGTGGTGGGAAAGCCACCCGGGGCTTCTCACTTTGGGCAGGGAGATCTGCGCTTGGAGTCCAGTCGACTGCTGTGCTCCCAGTGGGGTGTGAGGAGCCAGGATCCTGCGGGGGCAGCAGGGCTCCCCACTGGGAGCAGAGATCCAGAGGGCAGCCCAAGCCAGGAGACCCCACAGCAGCCCAGCTTGGGAACTGGGAGCCAGTTTTCTTGTCAATTTCACAGCTCCAGCCAATGTAAGGAACGTGGTGTCTACACAGACACTGCTTTGCCCTAATTACACCGACATAAGCCCTACGCCATCGTAAGTGCCTAAATGGAAGCTGAGCTCATTTGAAAATCTGGCCACTTGTAGCCACCACACTATCTCCAGGTCCTGGGAGTGTTAAACTACCTAAGAACACTTGCTACCACTCATCAGAAAGGTAAACAAATATTCTTTGGGTTGGGGCTTGTTTTATGATAGGACAGCATCAGAGCTTCCTATATTAAGATTGGCATAAAGGGTATTGGGCGTCATTTATTATAGTGGTGAATTACTACAGATTTCCCACATCTCTGCAGCATGAGAGACATGGAGAGGAGTATGTTTTCAAATTGTTGTGTAGGATATACAAAGTAAATGGGAATCCTACAGCTAAACCCCTTCAGATAACACATCAAAACTGCATTCCCTGGAGAACAATGACATTCAATGGTGTTGTTTTCAGTATTATTAAAATAAAATTGGAATTAAATTAATGATTAGACCTAGGCATTACGTCAAACCAAGGCATTGAGAATTTCACCACTGTTTTAATACACAACACTGTGACCGAGAATTTTCTGATTAGCATTTAAAATATCTGCAATAACTCCACATGCAGAGTTTATAAATAATGTAGGATGAAATTTATCCAAATCCAGAGAGCACCACTTACATCCCACTTAAGCCTTATTTTGGGGGGTTAAATGAGCTTTCAGTAGTGCATAGTTCTTGAGCTGTTCCACTCTAAATAAATGAGCCTTTCCCATACACACACATCCCATTCTAAATTAATGCTCTTACCTTATCTTTATTTTCAGAGCCAGAAGCCTCAAGTTTGGTCCGAATCACAAACGGCGTTGATAATCTCAGAAGGACTCGTTCAAATGTGGCACTGACCTTCGGGGAAACTATCTCAAAGCAGTCCTGGAATTTCAATGTTTTGTGAGTGTCACATTTGAGCTGCTTCCTAAGGCCTTCTCCAAGCTGGAGCACCAGCATGTTTGGATCAAACATCAGATGGAAGGGGAAAGCTCTGCAGAAGGTGCTGATGCTTATCCTCAGGTCTGAGGGAGACTGCGATGATCCGAGTGGAAGTGCTTTTGTGATATTTGCATTTTCACATTCTTTGATAACAAAAGTAAGACAGCTGCAATTACCTGGGTTTGACCCCTCTGCGTACAGTTTATCATTTGTGACTTGTTCCACATCCACTTCCAAACGGTAGATCTTCTTTGCTGCCGCCTTTATCATTCCCATCATTGCAAATCCAACAATATGATGAGGGTGAAAGTAGTGGAGCATGAGGTTGCCTTCGGGGAGCTCTTTGCATCGGAAAGAGGGGGATTCCAGAGTGGCCAGTCTTCCAAATGAAGTTCTAATGTGCTCCAGCAGAGCATCAAAGCCATTGAAGAAGTCCTGCAACGTGCCACCTAAAGCGCGAAGAACTCTTTCATTCTCATCAAAGCAGATATTGAAGAATTCCTCCCCAAATTTTTCTTGCATCTCCTCAAACTTCAGACCTACAGGGAAATGGTAAATATATGTCAACAATGTGGTGGGGTTGTTGTTGTGCAACATTTTTCCTTTTAATCTGCGTTTGTTTTGGGCTTCCCCCCAGCCACCAGATTATGATTTCTCCCTTATTCTAAAGGTTTCTTCATGAAGGATACCTGCTAGTGGGACTCCCATTTCCCTAGGGCAAAAGCTACCAGATTTCATTTGGTCTCTGTGGGTGACCCGAAGATGTCTGCATCACATTCTGGGCTGCTTTTTTTTTTTTTCCTGGCCATCTTCCTTCCTCACTCCCCAGTCCCATGTCCCGCTATCAGCCACAGTTTGTGATTCATGCACTTTTACCTTTTCTCATTCCGGTTAGAGCCCAGAGGACTACACTTTCCTCATGCTTTATGTCTCACACACAACCAAGTTATCTGACCACCCTTTGCAATGAGGATGACTAGACAGAACTTCCTTCAGAATTTTTTAGTACCACCTTTGAATTGGACAGTGGGATCACTACAGAGTAACACAAAATAGTTCTCCTTCTCCCTCATTGTCTTTGCAACAGTCCCAGTCCCCACTGAGTCAAAGACTGGGACTGGAAATCAAACCTTGGATTTCCACAGAACAATGGAAAACCCACAACTGGCCACTCAGATATACCTCTTCTGGCTGCATTTACTCTGCAACCATGAAGTAAGACAGTCTCAGAGACTGAAATGCTTTTCCTACACTGACCACTAGGGATTGCTAAAGAATAAGATGAAATAACCCCTTTCTCTGAATTGCTTGAAATTGAGAACAAGCTCGTGCAATGCTTCCAGGCTTAGCCACCTGGAAAAGCGTTTCTGCGGCAAAGGGTGAAGGGGCTAATGAGTCATTCACCGCTAACGTACTAGATCTTTCCATGTTCCCATCACAGAAACTCAAAAGGCTTTCATTTCTGAAAAGTGATGATACCAAACATTGCATGCAGGCAGTAAAATATCGCAGCAATAAAAAGATCCCAGACTAACAATGTACATCAAATGCTGCTTTGGTTTGCTAGTAACTATCTTAAAGGCAACTTTAGAAAATTCCATTTTAAGGTGACGACTAAACATTTTCATATCTCTACTATTTTCTAGGAATGCTCTTTTAAGCATTATTTGCATTTAATCAGTATATCAAACGCTGGAGTTACAATGTGCATAGCATGTGTGCGTCCAGTTGCTAGATCTGGTAGGATAATTTTCATGTGAATTATTAGAATATATACCCAGTGTAAGAGTGTGCAGAGAAAATAAATTCAACAAACAAAAAAATTTCCTCCAGTGCATCATTTTTATTAAATGTAACACATACTAGTTAAATCCATGACAGCTGGTTCTAATTATTCCAATAGAAATGAAGGACATAGTCATTTATTTCCTAAGGGTACAAGTCAGATCTTCATTATAATACATATTCAACATGTTTTATGCTATCTTCAGTAAAATACCAGTGGATCTCTGAAGACCATTACATCATTTGTTTGGATAGCTCATAGGCTTCTGAACTTGGAAGAACCATGTAATTAAAATAGTTTTATGCCCAGAGACATGAGAACAGCAGAAGTTATTAATCTATTGTTTGCAGAACAAAACTTTGATAATAATCTCAAAGAAGTGTTTGAGTAAGCACATGGCTATAATTATAACAACTAGAGCCCCGGAAATTACTGATTTTTCAGTTTGCTGGAAATTCTGAAAATTAAACAAAAAAATCATTTTAGATTCACCCAAAATTGAAGTTTTTCAAAATTTTCAGCAAATCAAAAAGTTCAAAAAAAAAAAAAAAGTATTGTGGGTCAAACAAAATATTATGTTTGACTCAGAGTGAAACTGTTTCTATTTCAGACTTTTAAAAAAAATAACTGAAGGGAATATAGAAACAAAAATTCTTTTAAAAAGATAAAAAATGAAATGTTTCATTTTAAAAATGTTAAAAGGAAACATTTCAACTTTTTCAGTTTTTTTTTTTTGTCCTACACAAACAATTTGGCAGAAACCAATACAAATTTATGAAACATTTTGGTGTTGCCAAAGACAGTTTCAGACAAAAAATTTTGCCCAGTTCTACTGATGTTTGGTATTTACACAGCACCCTTCATCCAAACTGATTTACAAACTATATGTAGTGATCTCTTTGCCCACATCCGGGATGTGACATGAGTTTAAAAGCTCTTAATATGGCACAACAGCTCAAGACAGAACATAAAGAAAAATAACTTATGCAGGAAAATTAACAGGATACATTTAGGTAGGTAGCAGAATATAATTATTCATATTGGCATTTGGCCAGAATACCCAGGTTCAAAGCCCTACTCTTCCAAAAAATATCATGGGACCTTTTATAACCACAAGTGGTCAGAACTGTGGTTTAATGGATAATCCGAAAGAGAGTACCTCAGTAGTATAATGCCTCCTAGTAGAGGAAAGGGTGTCAGTCACTGAATCACCACAAGTTTCAGAGTAACAGCCATGTTAGTCTGTATTCGCAAAAAGAAAAGGAGTACTTGTGGCACCTTAGAGACTAACCAATTTATTTGAGCATAAGCTTTCGTGAGCTACAGCTCACTTCATGGGATGAAGTGAGCTGTAGCTCACGAAAGCTTATGCTCAAATAAATTGGTTAGTCTCTAAGGTGAATCACCACCATTACTTTTGCAGAGCACAGGACTCTAACATCTTCCAGCCAAGTACCAACCCCAGCCAATGTGGGTTATTTTATGAAATTAGGTTCAGTGATATGGCCACAGGATATGCCATTACCTTTTTAAACATTTTAGGCATTAATCAGTGGAGTTACACCTGCTCCACTAGAGTAACATAGCAGTGAATCAGACATAGAAAAACAGAAGTGACCAAACTGGATCAGATCAGTGGTTTTTCTAATCCAGAATTTTGTCTCACAATGCCCATGACCAGATGCTTTACAGAAGGGTGAAAGAGTAGCAGCCGTCTTAGTCTGTATCCTCAAAAAGAAAAGGAGGACTTGTGGCACCTTAGAGACGAACAAATTTATTTGAGCATAAGCTTTTGTGAGCTACAGCTCACTTCAGCTGTAGCTCACGAAAGCTCATGCTCAAATAAATTTGTTCGTCTCTAAGGTGCCACAAGTCCTCCTTTTCATTTTTTAGAAGGGTGAAAGAAACCCTGAAGAGGCAGGTATGGAATATCCCACCCATAGAGAAAGTTTCTTCCTAATCCCCATGAATTACAAACCGATTTATACCCTGAAGCATGAGGGTTTATATCTTGTTCAATTTTTTTATTACTATTTTTTTTTTACAATTTACTATTGTAATGCAGAGAAACAAGGTGGGTGAGGTAATATCTTTTATTGGACCAACTTCTATTGGTGAAAGACAAGCTTCTGAGCTACACAGAACTCTTCTTTAGGTAACACAAATTGTATTGTAATTCTGGATGTTCTCATTATCAAAAAACAATTATCATCCCATATTCAGTCATACTAAGCTCTTAGCCTTTGTGATATCTGGTGGCATGGAGTTCCACAGGCTATTTCTGCCTTGTATGATTAAGTATTTTCTTTTAGTACTTTTAACTCTACCACTTTTCTATTTTGCTGAACATCCCCTTGCTCTTGCAATCCACCTACCATCTCTATAAAGTTCATTTTTTTGTTTCTCTTTACCTCATCCCCTCTTATTCATTTCCTGTATAAAGAGTCTTAGTTATTTTCACTCTCTCTCAAATGGATTTTTTTCCCCAGCCTGTTAAATATGTTTAGGTATAAAAAAGGAAACACTTGCACCATTGTTAGAAGCACAGAAATTGCCATACCAGATCAAATCAATGGTCCATCTGCCAAGGCATTCTGTCTCAACAGTGGCTAGTACCAGATGCTTGAGAGAAACTGTATAACCTAATGGCCAATTATGCAATAACAAGCTCTGGGGGAAGCTTCTCCCTAGCTGCAACAATTAGTGGTTGGCTGCTATCCCGCAATAAGAGGATAGTAGTAGGTCTGTGGATATTTTATTATTAATATAAAAGACTGATTTAATAAATATTCCTCCTAAACATTTTTTTCAGCATCTGAGTTGCAATATTTTGAGAATCCTACAAGTTAATTGTATGTTATATCAACAAGTATCTACATTATTTGTTGCCATTCAATTAAACTAAGTATCTCCCATTCTTTTTCTTCTATTTTGAGAATCTTTTCTCTCTCTTCTCATAGTCTTTCTGTGATTGTTCATTTTTACCATCTTTCGCTGATCCTTTTACATTTCAACTACAATATTTTTGCAGGGGAATGTCCAAAATTGAATACAGTGTTTGAGGTATGAGCATACCATCTATTTATATAAAGTCATTTGTCAGATCTTCAGTGTTATTCTCTGTCCCTTTCTTAACATAATCTAACATAAAAAAAATCCCAGCATACAAGCTCTTCAGAATCAATGAGAAGGTGAAAGATGTGATCAAAACAACAAAATACCCTTGGATTCAGCTACAGATCATATCGAAGCAACTATAATCCATCCAATTATTCCTGTAGAGTGAACCAAGGAGACAACAGCAGCCAATAGTACATTGGTATATATTAGCACGTACTATCTGGGATATCCCTTAAGAGAATTGAAGTGTCATCTAGTGAATGGTATAGGTGAGATACAATTAGCAGTTCTAACATTCATATCATGAACAAAAGACGAGGTTCTGTCCCCCTGGGTGTAACAAAAGTTTCCTTAATGAAGCACATTTACAGTAAATATTTAGTATCCCCTTCATAACACAACTCTCTTCTGCTTTTATCTGATGGTGGTTTAGGCAGAAGTTGAAGATTCCAGGACACCATTTAAAAACACTAGGAAAAACTAATATTTTAACCAACATTCACTCTCTCAATAAAACAGATTCCGATGGGTGTAGGACACACCTGAGTGCTTACTAGCTGATCAATTGGCCTCTAAATGACAGTATGACCTATATCTAATTAATCTGTGAAGTACTTTGGCATAACTTGAGTA